ACCATGTAGTATAACCTGCCCATTACAGGGTCTTTTTTTTGTAGCAGCTAGGTTTACATCCAATGCCACCGCGCAGACCTCCAGACGGTCTAACCAGCAAACCGCGGAGTATACCCTAGTATCTCGAGTACCACGTTAACTACGCTACATTGGATTTCGCCCAGCCCTCCTGTACTGTGTCCGTGACGTGTTGGGGCCGAACCAGCCGATCCCAACGGTTCCCATGACTGCCTCATCGCATGTGAAAATGCTTTGCGAGGACTTACGGCAACCTGTCACATTCACAGTGGCGGAGTTGCTTTATTTGTTATCGCAGATGTGCTCTTACTGAGCTTCGTTGGCAATGTAACTCTAGGTTACTAAGGCCAGATGTTCATCACTCAGTGGCTCTATCTGCGAAGAGGGCATCTTGCTATTGAGCATCGAGAGTTCAGTAGACAAACTTACTGAAGCTTGGTGTTCATGGCTCAGTAGCTAGGCCCATTTGCCTTTATACAGCGGATCTCTGTCTCGGACCGCTGTTCGGCTTATTGCCTGTATAGAGGTATCCTTTCGTCCTCTACAGGTCTTATCTTGTTTTGCCTTTATACAGCAGTCTCTATGTAGGACCGCTATTCGGCAAACTAGCATTGCAGACATCGACTGCTGTGTTTCGAGAGTTCCTGAGACTAGGCGCCTATCAGAACTAGGCCTTCATTGCACAGCAGTGTTACCTGAGCTGCTAAAATGACTTACTGTCTTGTAGAGTAATCCCCCGTTTCTACAAGAGCTTCGTGTCATTGCCTATATAGAGGCATCCTTCCGTCCTCTACAGGTCTTACCTTGCCTTTATACAGCAGTCTCTATGTAGGACCGCTATTCGGCAAACTAGCATTACAGACATCGCCTGCTGTGTTTCGAGAGTTCCTGAGACTAAACATCTATCGGAAGGCTTTCATTACATAGCTGTGTTGTCTGTAATTGCTAAAACGACTTGCAGAAAAGGACTGCTTCGTCTCTACAGGGCCTATGTGTCATTGCCTGTATAGAGGTATCCTTCGTCCTCTACAGGTCTTACCTTTGTAGGTCTTTAGGTCTCTACAGGTCTTTATACAGCAGTCTTCTGTGTAGGACCGCTGTTCGGCAAGTGTCGGTGCAGATCGTCTCTAAGTTACCACTTAATCATGGTGGTGCGCTTCGGGACGTCACAAAAGAATTAATTTTTCTTTTTGGAAAAAAATAAGGCCCGACCAGGAGAAAACCCTCAACCAGGCCTGCGCACCCGAGCGCTTATTATACACTAGAGACAACAGTTAATACTAACCATTTATTAACTCAACAACGACAATGCATCACCGACGAATTACTTCTTCTTCTTCGGTGAAGGCTCCTCGTCTGAGGAGTCCTCTACCTTTTCTCGAGAATCTCTTTCTTGTCAAAGCTGACGCGACCTTCCTTGAAATTATCGCAATTGATTATGATCCCTGCATGCTTAATTGATAACGTACTTTATTCGCACAACCGAAAAGAATTTCATTGCGTCCACAACAACTATGTCCTTTTTACCATAACCATTACGCTTCACCATTTTTATCTGCAACATTTGTTTTATTCCTAAGGTCATTACTCTTATCGTTACAAATCATGCGAACACGATCGGCACACGATACAGAGTAGAGTTCGGAAGTAATACCAATGTGAAGCCTCTGTGGGGTGTTAAGCTCCTGTACCGCCGCTCCACCAAGGGTGAAGCTGGGAGCCAAAACTTCGCACGAAGCTTATGTTGCAGATCTCCTCTGTGGGGCATCCAGCTCCCCTATCGCCACTCCACCGAAGGTGAAGCTGGGAGCCGGCGCCTCGCACGAGGCATGGTTGTGGGTCACCTCTGTGGGGCATCCAGCTCCCCTATTGCCACTCCACCGAGGCAGAGCTGGGAACCGGCGCTCCTCACGAGGCATGGTGTGCTTCACCTCTGTGGGGCATCCAGCTCCCCTGTCGCCACTCCACCGAAGGTGAAGCTGGGAGCCGGCACCTCGCACGAGGTCTGCATGCGATCGTACTTTGATTTGACCCAAAGCTCATTCACCAATGGCGTCCAGGCCGGATCTTTGAGGTTCCCCGTTTCCAGGGCGGGAGTATCGGCCCTCCGAAGAAGGCCCACTCTACCACAACCACCTCAGGTGAAGAGCTGTTGGGGGCGACAATGGCGTCTCTAGCGCGCACTTGCTCCGGAGAGGTCATGCACACCATTGCCTTGAACTTTCAAACAATAGATGTTGTTCTTTTAGATGGCGTCGACGCGTGATCATTGAGGTTTCCTGAATACCAGGTACCGGGCTTACACGAGGTGCAAACCCCTAACCACCATCACCGTCAATTTCCTTAAGTTTCAGCTTTGTTGGAGGAAAGAAATTACCACGGCTGAGTTCAAAACCTCCAACAGTTGATCTTCGCACATGCACCTGACATGCAAGGCTCAATCATCTGACTGAGCATATAGGACAGCCAGAATCAATCGTATTGGCAAAATCAAATCTGCACATAACGATACCCATTTTATTCATTTGTGAACGTTGGGAACACCGAAAACTCTTCATCGAATGGTAGATCAACTGCTGTAACTTCAACGATTCTAGATCAACTGCTGTAGGTCGCGGCATCGATCTCTCTATCCGCAACATTCGCCAAGATCAGCGCTGCGGTGGCTCTCCATTTCCTGCAAACCACGAATTGCTGTTCCCAATTTTGCTCTCATCCTTCCCCTGGCATTGGGGAACGGGCTTTATTATGGCTCTCATCGCGGAGCATCAAACCTCGAAGGCGGCTCCTTTGAGGATCTAATGCTCACCACTTATCAGAGGTAACCTGGACTACTCTATGGTCGCAATTAACCATAGATCCGACCCTTTTAGTTTATTGTGCCATTATGGCAACTCTTCGCGCATGAATGGAACCCCATACGGGTAGCCGCATGTTACAGGGGCCGGACAGAGCCTACCCCTTGTACTGCAGCATGCTCGCTTCATGGCCTATATGTCGTCATTGGACATGTGGCACTTGATGATTCTATTTGTTCCAAGCACAGCACACCTTTGCATCTTCTCTATGATTGTCTTAGTGCCATCAGGCAGCTTAAGCAATCGGACGTACTCTCGTAGTTGGGGTGAGCATTCGCCACAAGCCCCTATCACGATAGGTACGACTTCTACCCTCATGCCGTGTTGTGCTTGGAGTGCCGCCTTTAGGTTCGGACCAGGGAAGAAATCCTCTGGTTCCGTTCCTTCCGGAAGGCAGCTATTCATTCCATATTTGCGGATCTTCTTGAGCTCTTGACGAGTGATTCTAGTGAACCACGAGACCGAGACCTCAATGATCCAAATTACTTTATCCTTCAGGTCCTTGACTACTATGTCAGGCCTGTCGTGTCGCAAGTTCTCCCTCGTTACAATGCGGTCATTCCAGTGTAACACCACATGATCTCCCTCCACTAGATGTGGAACGTGTGTGTTGGTTACTCTGGAACTCAGACCGTACTTCTTTTTCAACGAGTGGTAGATTACCCTGGCTACTTCATCATGTCGTTCGACCATGATATTGGTTCGCCAGTGGTTACATGCTGACACTATATGTTCTGCCGTTTCCTTTGCATTGCAACGCATTCGGCACATCTGGTTACTATTCGCCCAGATTGATTGTCCTGAAGCGCTGGCTTTTGTCGGCAGAGAAGCCTCTTGGGCAGCCCAAACGTTTCGTAAGACTTCAGAGGACACCCATCCGGTCTGTGACCACAAGAACGAATCCTTGTGACAGACGTATGGTTGCTCGTTCGTCTCGTTGTTACTGATCACTCTGCTCGCTACCACTCTTTGCTTCCATTCATACATTCGCGTTCGTGCCCATCGTTCGTGAACGAGGGTAGATATTGCTCTTGCGGCTTCTGTGGCCGCTGCGAATGTTCGATCTTTCACTTGAATAGAAGCTTGAGCAATGCGAGTCACTTCATCCTCCAACCTGTTTTCAGCCATCACGGCTCTAAAGTCGGAGGTGAGTGATCGTTTGTTGCTGCCTCTTAGGCTTTCACAAAGATGATA